CACTTCATAAGAAAGTAAACAGATATCGATGAGGATCTCTTTGATGATCGCAATTGGACACCTGACACAAAATTTGTTGAGAATCTTCCAAAGAAAGTTTTAAGTTCGGATGTGGTTTTAATTTAACTCATCTACTATTTAATTTTTTCTATTCAAATAACCATTAATTTTTATAAATTATTGATTCTTATAAATATAAGTTTTTTATTATATTTTTTTCTATATTGTAGTGTATAGAAATAAATCACTTATATAATATCAGAAATTTTCAAAATCACAATCCTAATTACCCACGTCACCATTTCATAACCAAAATGTTCATTTTCTCTTATAAATTCGTACGTTATAATACCACATTTTCGGCAATAATTATTTTGGAAACCTCTGTATAATATAATATTATATTTTATTATATATTATATTATATTATATTATATTATATTATATTATATTATATTATATTATATTATATTATATTATATTATATTATATTATATTATATTATATTATATTATATTATATTATATAATAATAAAACTTCTTTCTATTCAAATATTAAACTTTATTATATGTATTAATTGAAACAACAATGATGAAAAAATGAGTTAAAGTGCCTTCTCAATTGTGAACCACTCCCAGCTTTGAGCAATTGCTTTGTCAGCAGTCAAAACGCCATTTGGTTGAGCGGACAAATACTTTCCAGTTGGTGTTTTGATGGTATACATCTTCTTTTCTGGTGACTTTTCTATGATGAACCATTCCCAACCTTTGAAATTAGTTGAGCATTTCTCCATCTTCCCATTGGGGTTGGCTGAGACATACTTTCCATGCCAATTTCTGAATCCGACTTGTGTCTTATCGTTTGGTACCATGTTGACTTGGAACTTCTCCCATTCCTTGAGATGTGGTGCAGTTGCACTGATGTCGCCGGCTGGTGTAGCAGTGAGGTACTTTCCATGGAAAGATTTGATGGCGATGGTCGTTCCAGCAAACTTTTTAGACTTTGGCTTTGAGCCAATAGTTTTGATCTCAAATTTCTCTGATTGTGCAGCAATCATTTTACCGGCTGTAAGTTCACCGTTCATAGCAGAAGACAAGTACTTTCCGTGATATGACTTGATTGTGTACTTCTTATCTGAGGTCTTAACGATTTCTAAGAACTCCCATTCTTTGATGTGTGGTGCGCATACCTCTAATGTATTTCTTGGATTGATCGAAAGATATTTGCCGTGGCAAGTCTTCAAAGCAACT